GGCGGGAAGGGGGGAGGGAGGGACGGGCTGATATCGCTGGCAGGAGCCCAAGCATCTGTGGGCAGTGGGAAAAGCGGTTATTGCCAACACTTAAAGGGCTCCTGCCAGGGTCACCACAGCAGGTGGGCTCCTGCCGTGGGCATCAGGGTACCCGGCAGGCCAGGGGCACTGCCTGACCACGCCAAGTCGACATCCCGCTGAGCCCCAGCCCAGCAGCACCACAGCACCTCGCCAGCTGCCCCGTGCTGTGCCCGGTTCACCGACACACTGCCGTGACACCGAGCGGTGCTGCACGGACCCTGCCAGCTCAGCCCTCCGGGGACGAGGCAGACGGAGGAAAATGCTGCCTGCGGCACGTCGGTACAGGATGGCTGCAAACCACAGGCACAGGGTTCAGCTGCAGCATCATCAGCGTGTGCCCCCACAGCCCCGGCAGCGCATTTGGTGCATCCCCGATGCCGGGCACCCGTATGGGGCCGGGCTGTGCAGTGGCGGTGTATGGATGTGGGGGCGGATGGTGGGCGACTGGCACCTGCGGCTCCGGCTGCAGCTCTGGCAGGGTTTGCAGAGACAGGAGCCAAAGAGACACACACCCCGGGCGCAGGCGCTTGGCATTTATTAGACACCAGCTGAGTGGGGACGGCAGAAACTGGGTGGCCACGGGAACAGCGGCCCGGTGTCTGGTGCCGGCTAGAGCCGGGTGGCACCATGCAGGGACAGGCAAGGGGAGCCCACCCGGATGGCGGGGCTGGGCACCTCCTCGGGGTAGGAGAGCGCAGGGTTGTCCAGCCCCAGCCTGGCCTTGTCATGGGGAGGGCCCTCGCGCTCCTCCCAGCCCTCGGGGCTGCGGCAGCGGTCGGTGCAGCAGAGGGTGGCCCGGGTGATGAGCCGGTCGAGGGGCTGCAGCGAGTGCATCCAGGCGGGGAGGAAGTCCCAGGTCTGCAGCCATTTGGGCAGGCGGCCGGGGCTGCGGGCCTGCAGCGCGTTCACCAGCCCCACAAAGAAGAAGAGGCCGAGGAAGGGTGCGCCCACCCCCAGCAGCGCCTGCCAGCCCGCCATGGAGATGCCGAAGATGAGGGAGGGCAGCAGGAGGAAGCAGACGATGAGGTACAGCACAGCGAACCAGCGGTACTTGGCCGTGCGCTCGCCCAGCGCCTTGGCCATGCGGATGGGCAGGCGGGTGAAGGGCAGCGGGTACCACAGCAGGATGCCGGAGATGTTGAAGAAGAAGTGGCAGAGGGCGATCTGCAGGGATGGCATCCCCATTGGGCCAGGCATGCAGGCTTCCCCCAGCCCCTGTCTTGCCTGATGTCCCCCCGCCAGCCCAGCCATGGCCCTGGGCTGCCCGTACCTGGAAGGAGCTGGCCAGCTTGTCCCCTGGGCTGGCCAGGGCGGCCAGGATGGCAGTGGTGGTGGTGCCGATGTTAGAGCCCAGGGTCAGTGGGTAGGCGCGCTCTATGCTGATCACCCCCAGGCCTGCGGGAGAGGCACCCCATCCCGTTCCATCGCTCCTCGCCAGTGCCATCCCCACACTCTCCCAGGGAGGCACGGCTCCTCCCACACCTCTGAGCGCCCCAGCACCCATGGGCCATCGTTGGGGGGACCAGCACATGCCAGGGGACCAGGCTTGGCCGGGACTCACCGATCAGGGGTGTGATGGCTGAGGTGAAGACAGAGCTGCTCTGCACCACGAAGGTCATCCCAGCGCCCACCACCATGGCGAAGTACCCCGTGAGCCAGCTGAGCGGGTGTGGGAGGTCTGCCACAGCATGGCCACGGGCACAGGCATGGACACAAGCATGGCCACGGGCACAGGCATGGACACAAGCATGGACACGGGCATGGACACATCAGCTGGGAGCAGCCCAGAGCTCCTACATGGTGCTGGGAAGGGGGCTGTGGGGCCAGGCTCTGGTTATGGTGTCAGGCTGTGGGTATGGGGCCAGCCTGGTGGCTGGTGGCTGGGATGGCTGGGGAAGGAGGATGTGGACACCAGGAGGCCATGACATCTATAAGCAGAGTGGGGATCTGGGGCAGGCAAGGGACATGGGGGCCCAGGCAGGGATGGGGGTTAGGGGCAGCCAGGGATGGGTCTGAGAATGGCAGGTGGGGCTGGGGCTGGGGCTGGGTGTCCATGGGGCAGGGGGGGTCCCATCCCACTCATCCCACGGCGGTCCCCCTCCCACTCACCAGTGTTGATGACCTTCTGGGTGGCTTTGGCCACCTGCCCCC